GTAGCAATGATTGTGAGATTGAAATGGGATTTGACATTGTTTTGTTCTTTTGTGCATGGGGTCCCTATGAGTCAGTGCCAACTCAATAGCACCTAACAACACCACCATCACCATTTGTATGGACTCTTGGTTTGGCACTGTAGGATCAGCACTGGTCTGTGAACCAAAAGATCAGCAGTTCAAATTTGCCAACTGCGCTTTGGGAACCCCCTACAGGGTCACTCTGAGTCAGAATCACCTCTTTGACACTTAACAGTAACAACAAGCATTTGTATATATTGTTGCTTTCTGAAAATCTGTACAACAATAATGGTCACATTAGAGCTCTGCTGTCTTGTTTTAACCCACTTCCTTTTTATCCTCTTCTCATGTTTTTCATAATTCCACAAGTGTGCATAACTTTCATTAGAGTCACTTTGATGTTTACTGGCAGCCAATTTATTTGGCTAGAACATGGGCCTTTTAAAGCCCAGATTAGATGTCTAAATTCTTTATAGACTAGTTATGTAATTGCAGTTTGTGGTGATGGCCGTAACTGTTGTGACTATGAATTAGTGGTATAGCTCAGTAAAATCAGTACATTTACAACACCACCAAAGTTCACTATATTGTAACTGTGTCTGTTATGTCACACTGGAGAAACTTGTTTTATTTTGTGTACTTTTTGTAGCAATATTTATATACTTTTTTTTTTGGTCATAAGAGTTTGTGGATTCAGCACTATGCAAGAGACTGGTCTAGGAAATTAGAGAAGCAGTAAACTTTTAGTGGCAAACCAAAAAAAAGTTATAACCTATAAATTCCAAAGAAGAGGAACAGGAACTAGGAAATGTCATTAAAAGTCTGAAGTACACATGCCGGAGATGGTACTATTGATTAGACATGGTTTTAAATATCTAATTTTCTACTTTGTGTTTATAAACATTAGAAAGTAAAAAATTAGATATTTTACAAACCTGTTGTCTTAGGTTTTAAGTTTTACTTTATATTTTGTCTTGCTTCCCTCCCGTCTTTATTCTGATACAGATTATATAGTAAGGGTCTTTTTGTCACCTTTACTTGGAATTAAGTTTCACTATGGCCATTAAGATAACAATATTTGAGCCATTTGGATATAATGTAAGATATAAATTTGGAAGGTAGAGTTGAAACTACCACTTTCTTTATAAATTGCAAGGACGTTTAAAGTTAAAATACCTTTGCTACTAGCAAAGCATGTTTATATTTTATTTAGTGATTCCTTTATAAAAACAAAAGCTAAAATTCTATTTACTAAATTCAGACTGTGAAATAAATCTTCCTGTATTCTCAGCATACATAGTAGTTAAACTCAATCATATGTATTTCACTCTAGTTTGGTATAGAAATCTTTGGAATTCTCACCATGGAGTTGGGGTAGACATGCTGAATTTCTATCATAGACATCCATGAGTAGAATTATGAAATCATGGAGTTTCACAAAATATATATGTATAACATATATGAATTAATGAGAGTGTTAATATGTCTTCTTTCTTTACAGTTCTTTTTCCTCTTTCAAGTTTCTCAATTGGGTGTTATTTTCTGGGGTTTGTTTGTTTGTTTGGTTTCTTGGTTGTTTTTTATTTATTTATTTATTTATTTTTGGCCATTTCTCTTCAACTGTCAGTGGAATTATTTTCTTCCTGTCTCCATATTCAGGTAGTTTCAGTGGCTGAGTATCACCGCAGGATCGATGCTCTAAATACTGAAGAACTGCGCACACTCTGCAGACGTCTCCAGGTGCCCACTTCAGTAGTTTAAATCCCTATAGAGCTTGCGCACTCCTTGTTCTTAGTGTCCTTTGTCAGGGTAGATCTCATGTTTGAAAGATTTATTTCCACTGAAGAATTAAAGCATGTAGTATTGTTTTGAAATGATACAGAATTATTTTTTTCTATCATCTTTTCATTTGAAAAATATTCAGAGGACTTTTCTGTTGTTACTTTATGACTGTTTTCAGTGCTGTGTGGTTCCAAGTGTGAGTTTTCTCTGAATTTTAACATCGGAAGAATATCTTATGGCTTTATATTGAGTCTTTACTAAAAGAATCTGAAAGGTGTGCTGCTTTGGAAAAATATTTAAAACTTTCATTTTACAATAGGACTTCAAAAAGTTTGGAAAAATAGAACTAAAAGATAGTGGAAGTTTTTCCATAAACTTTTTGAAACCCTCTCAATATGACAAGGCCTTACGTATTTCCTTCATCGAGATCGTTTCATTTGTATAAACATCAGATTTCTTAATGGGAGAAATTGCTCTTTGGTATTTTTCTTGAGGCATTCCTGGTTATTATTAGAAAATTTTGTTGTAGTATAAGTTAGACTTTAGGCACAAGAACTAGATAAATTATTTGACTCTCAAATAATTTTTCTGATTTTTAGAAATGAGATAGTGATAAAATTCAACAGAAAGTGATACAGTTGAGCTCACTTTTCAGTTTTGTACATTATTAGTTGTGTGCATTTCTTCTTTTCAATAAGATGTACTTTTATGACTTCATTAAACCTGCTAAGAATTTTTTTTCTTTTCTTTTAATGCTTTTAATGCTGTCTTGGATTTATTTTTAATCTTTTACTTCATCAAAATAAAGGTAAAACATTATGATGATGTGATAGAATACATTTAGTTTCTCACCTAAAAACAATACAGCTCTAGAATGAATCTGTTGGTTGAAAATATAGTCTGTTTAGGTTTGGTAAGGAATCGCTTTAAGGAACAAAGTAAGTCAATAATATTTCATTCCTGTGTAGAATCATAGTCATCGAGCATTGCTGCATTTTAGTTATCTGCTCCAACAAAGTTCTGTATATTTTCCATGTTCAGTTTATTAGTAATAGCTATGTTTCAACTTTTATTTTCTGTTACTACATTTTACATACTAAAATAAAATAAATATTAAAAAATAAGCACCAACAGTACAGACTGTATGATAGTAAGCTTTTTGGAGTAAATCAGCATTTTTTTCTTATCATTTTAAAAGTTATCAGTGAAATAACTTCCATAAAGCAAAAGCATATATTTGTTTTAATATAGCCAATTAATGTAACTTTAAAATTATTTTTGAAAAATTAACTTTCAAATGTTTACTTCTGGTGCATTGAGATTGAAGAATTCAATCTTTTGTAAGTAACAAATGAAGGCATTTAAGAAATGATACCTTTAATAATATATGTATGTCTGTATATTAAAGGTAATAATTTTTAAATGTTAATATATGATAAACATGTATCATGCACATGCGATATATATACATACATATATATATATCCACACACACAAACATCCATAGATATACACATATATTTGGATCCTGGTGGCACAGTGGTTAAGTCCTTATCTGCTAACTAAAAGGTTGACAGTCCAAACCCACAAGTGGTTCTATTTGTTGTTGTTAAGTGCCGTCGAGTTGGTTCCGACCCATAGCCACCCTGTACAGGGTTTCCGAGGGTGTAAATCCTTACGGGAGTAGAAAGCCTCATCTTTCTCCCGCAGAGCGGCTGTTAGTTTCGAACCGCTGACCTTAAGGTTCGCAGCCCGATTCGTAACCACTACGCTACCAGAGCTCTATAGGTGAATGATATGGCAGTCTGCTTCTGAAAAGACTATAGCCTTGGGAATCTTATGTATCAGTTTTCACTCTGCATTATAGGGTTATTAATAGTCGAAATTGACTCAACAGCAACAGGTTTGGCACTTTGTTTATATAAATTGTATACTATATTTATATTAAGGAGCTCTGGTAGTGTAGTGGTTACAAATTGGGCTGCGAACCGCAAGGTCAGCAGTTCAAAACTACCAGTGGTTCCGCGGGAGAAAGATGAGGCATTCTGCTCCTGTAAAGATTTACAGCCTTGGAAACCCTGTGCAGGGTCGCTATGAGTCGGAACCGACTCCATGGTACTCAACAACAATATTTATATTAAAAGATAAAAGTTATACTTTTTGTTCTACTACTATTTAAATTTATATTTGACACTTATGACACATTTTATGTTTTCCACAGAAAAATATAATTACATGAATAAAAAGTAACTTAGCTTGCTTACTTTTGCTTTTCAACAGGCTAAATTTAAAGTTTCATGAATCTGTCTCCTTTTAAACAGAAATGTAAGGATTCATCATTCATTACCAGCACTTCCTTTTTGTAGTGGAGATGAAAAAATGACTGTTTTGAATTTTTAAAAAACTCTGTTTACATATCATAGGTATTTGATGAAGTAGTATTTACCTTATAAAGTTCTGAATTATAGCTGTAGCCACCTTTTCTGAATTGTAAAGTTTTTATTCCAAAAGACTAAAAAAATTTTAAAGTATGCTACAATTTCATATTAATACATTAACCACTGCTTACTTTTTTTAGATTACTACAAGGGAAGATATAAATTCAAAACAGATTACACCAGTAAAAGCAGACCTGGAGTCTGAGTCGTTTCGACCAAACCTTAGCGATCCCAGTGAACTCTTACTTCCTGATCAAATTGAAAAGGTATGACATGTCTACATATATGCATAAGTGAATATGTGCCCATGAAAGTAAAACATTCATTTTCAATTATTTTATAAACTGAAGAAACAAGCTTAATCCTATTCCTCTTAGCAGTAAGTTTGGTACTCCTAAGAGTAGGCAAAATGTAATTTGGGTAAGTGACTGTAGTATCCAGTATTTACATTTTCACTGTATGCTGGTCACCTATATGACTATGCTATGTGTGGATGATTTCATTGTCACAGCAGCTCTAGGATTTGGATACCATTATTGAGCACATTTTATAATTGAAGAAATAGACATTGGTTGAGTAACTTCTCCAAGGACACACAACTAGACACTTGATTTCGAACTGATAGTCTCACTTCAGAATCCATTATTTGAAAGGTATTTTAATAATCAAGGTAATAATCCATTAGTTTTGTTAGAGACACAGGGCAAAAGTTACAAGGGATCCAAGATTGTTGTCTCTGTTTTAATCTGTGTTTTGTTCAGCATTACAGTTTCTTTTCCTGAAGACAATATTTCATGCTGAGAACTGTATGGGGGGCCTTGGAAAAATGGAGTGAAAAGATTATGGAATTTTCCCATAAACTTTTTGAAACCTCCACGTATAGTTACTGCCTTTTAAATTATCAGTACTTCTGCAAAAGATAAAGAATGTCTACGATTATTTTCTTTTTATAAGTCTGTATGTTGTTGTTGTTGTTAGGGGAGGTTCTTTTCTGTCTCTTGCAGCATCTTGCAGCTGCCAGCAATCCTTGCCATTTCTTGTCCATCGTCCTTCTCCTGGTGTTGCTGTGTACATTCCACTCTGTTTAACTCAGAAGTGATTCTGTTTAACACCATCCTCCTCTGGTATAACATTATTAGCCTCATAAAAGAAAACCCCTATTTCCAAACAGGTTCATATTTACAGGTGTAGTGGTTAAGATTTCATCTTATATTTTAGGGGGATACAGTTCAACCTATAATAATTATCAAGTAAATGCTAGCATTTTATTTTTCAAAGCTTACAAAGCATCTTCCACCAAGAACAATTGGCTATCCATGGACTCTTGTTTATGGTACTGGGAAGCATGGAACAAGTTTGAAGACCCTTTACCGAACAATGACAGGTTTGGACACCCCAGTGCTGATGGTGATTAAAGACAGTGATGGCCAGGTATGAAAAACTAACTGCATAGCGACTTATCTTTTAAGAGATTAGAGTAGCAGTAACTCTTAGTGTATCCCCTTAACAAACAATTTTCATGTTTACATTATGTTTAACTGCTAATTATTGAGCACTTTTAAATTTTCAGGTAATGATGAGTGCTTTGAATAAGAATTCTTATTTTAAGGAGATTATAGTCTGGTGCAAAACAAAATTTGCATACATAATTATTACTATTACTGAGAGAAGAAATATGCTAAGTGTAGTAAAAGCCCAGAAAAAGTGAGTCCTGGTGTGGTACTGTAGGATAAACACTGGACTGCTAACTGCAGTTAAACAAGGGATAAACAAGTTAAACAAGGTACTGTAGGATAAACACCTGATAACTGTAAGGTCAGTGGTTCAAACCCACCAGCTGCTCCTTAGAAACCTCATGCAGGTGACTTTGAGTCGGAAGCGACTCGACAGCACTTGACAATAAGAAGTATTCTTATAGGAACCATGTGCGCTGAGGTAAGTGTTGGGCAGCTAACTGAAAGGTCAATGGTTCATACTTTTCAGCTGTTCAGAGAGATGAGGCAGTGGGCCTCCATAAAGCCTCACAGCCTCAGAACCCTGTGGAGCAGGTCTCCTTGATCTCTAGGGTTGTTGCTATGAGTCAGATTGACTTGATGGAAGTGGTTTTGTTTTTTGGTTTTTAAGTACTTTGCTCCCTAAAAAACATGTTATTGTATATACATTGTGCTTATAAGCCCTCTTAAAATGTATTAGCCACTTTAAGATTATATGCTTAATTCTTAAAATAAGAATTTTTGGATTTTTTTTCATTGACAAACTATTATGCTTTGTTCTTGACAATAATGTGAGGTGTATAGTAACTGATCATGTTACCCTTTTGCCTTTGACTTCTGGGAAGTTCGGTTGCCTATATGTATACATATATATCTATGTAAAAGGCTCAAGATTGTCATGCTTGTGTCTATTTTTATCTTAGTTCTCCCTTTCTGTTGTACATGTATTTTCTGCAAGCTTCCTCAAAACTATGTGAAAAAAAGGAAGCAGGATATAATTTTTAAAAATATAAGAAGATATCAGATAACTTTTTATATTTTATTTAGACAAATAAGGGATAGTTTAATGAAACACATTTAACTTGCCTTTTTTTATTCTTAGGTTTTTGGTGCATTAGCATCTGAGCCTTTTAAAGTGAGTGATGGCTTCTATGGCACTGGAGAGACCTTTGTTTTCACATTCTGTCCAGAGTTTGAGGTGAGGACATTTATGCTGATAGTCTATTTATAAAAAGCTGGTATAATGGGGAAAAAGTGCACTTTGGAAATATATATACTTTAATTTTATCTCACCTGTACTTTTTGCTAATAATTTTGCGTTTCCTTGTATTTTGAGCTTCAACTTTCCTGTAGATAAACTAGGGATTACACGATGTAATAGAATTATTTGAAAATTAAAGTATATAATTTATAGACAACAGTTGGCATGGTATCAGACACAGATCATAAACTTTTTAAGGAAAATATATAAGTTTTACTATTCTGTTTTTGAATGATCTTTGTGAAATTCCTGTGTGGTGCTATGGGTTAATGCGCCAGACCGCAAAGCCATTTGAATTACAAGGTTGGTGGTTCAAACTTAGCAGCTGCTCCTTGCCTTACACAGGGCCACTATGGGTTGGAACTGACTCAACGGCACTAAACAACAACAAATAAGTTTAGTGATGCAAATCTTAAAAATTTTTTAAATAAATCTTCTTGTATTTCAGTTGAAAACGATTAACTATTGTATTACTTTGTGCAACTATATTAACTGTAGTTAAGTAACTTAAATTGAATAAATTCTAATGCCAATAAGGTTACACAATCAATTTTAGTGAAAGTGCTGCTCTCCTTAAAACATTGAGGCCAATACTTAGTATCTTAGGTGCAAGGAGGCTCAGCCTGTCAGACCATCTTAACTAAGTTTATTTTTTAAAGTGGTATTTAGGAACAATATCTGTAATGAGCAAAATAGGAATATGTGGTAACATGGTGTCAGAGAACAGAGCTGAGCTGCCATGTGTGGAAGTAACTGATTAAGGCAAGGCAAAATGAAAGTTATAATCCAGCCTTTAATTGTACTGCAAGAGTTCAACTCTCCACCTGTTCATTTCAGCCAGTATTCCAGACTCAAAGGGATCAGTGGCAACAAAGAAGCCCTTGAAACAAAAGTTCCTAGTTTTAGGGGTAGGAGTGGGAAAGTACTGAGTTTGGAATCAAAGTGGAAAAGTCTTCAAGGTAAAGGAGACTGAGGAAGGTCTCAGCTAAGGCCTGGGAATAAATGGGCTGGGGCTAGGAATGCAGATATAGGTAAGCGTGTGGCCATCCAGAGGGACCTGAGCGATTGATTGACCTGCATCCCCTGCACAGTTGGCAGTGCATTGATGATATAGCAAGTGTGATGTGAGGAGGGCAGCCTGAAAAATCATAGTAGGATATTAGTCAATAGGCTAATAGCAGGGTTTCTCAAATAGAGGCTCTCTTAACAAACTTGTGCTTAACTGGGTAACCATGTTAGCCATACTCTCTATTCCTTCCAAAAAGCATGTCAGCTGATGCCTGCAGCTACCAATACCTACTTGTTATTAAGAGCCGTTGAGTCGATTCCACCTCATAGCAACCCTGTATATGGTTTTTGAGGACTGGCTGATGGCTTTGAACCACCAAAGTTGCAGTTAGCAGTCCAGTGCTTATCCTTTAGCATCATACCAGGACTTGCCTATACCCACTGTTGTTGTTACTGTTGTTAAGTGCAATTGAGTTGGTTCCAATTCATAGTTACCCAGTATAGGGTTTCCGAAGCTGTAAATCTTTGCAGGAACAGAAAGCCTCATCTTTCTCCCACAGAATGGAGGCTGGTGGACTTGAACTACCAACCTTCTGGTTCACAGTCCAATGTATAGCGTACAGAGCCAATCCTCACAAGTCGTTAAAATTTTCTGTTTGCAATGTGCTTATTCTCAAGCTTATTTATATTATTTCTAACTGATACTGTAATTTATTAATTGTTATGTAACTTTGAAAACATGCATGTTAAAAGAAAGTTTATTTAAGTGAAATAGAAAAAGTTGAAGTTTCCTAAAAATTGCCAAATCTTTGACTTGAGTAAGACACCCATAAAAGATCAGAAAAAAATATTTAGGAAAACTAACACCTAAAATGGAGTCGTGTAGGACTGCTAACCACAAAGTCAACAGTTCAAACCCACCAGCCCTCCTCAGAAACTGAATACAGGGTCACTATGAGTCAGCACTGACTTGATGGCAGTAACAACAACAATATCTAAAAGGTTTGCCTTCAGAATTCACAAGTCTCTTGAGTTCTCATTTCTCTTGAAAGAAATTGAAACTGGAAATCATAATTATACATACAGTATGAGTGTAGTTTATACAAAGATTATGATCAAGAAATTTATAGGAGGAACAAACAAGATGGCGGATTGGGTGGACATATAGCAGAGAGCTCCGCCAACAACAACACAGAATACCCAACCAAGCAAGTTCAGGGGATGGTCCCAGAACTCTGAACCACATATAAAGGGATACTTACAAGGTTGGAAGGCTCA